GATACCACTGAAACAAGATGGCATTCCAGAATAACAACAGGTTCATTGTCGAGCCGACTCTTAATTTTCCATGTGTGAATTTGTCACAGAAAACATGTAATCGCCATTCAGCTGTCCCTGTTTCCAGCCAGCCCCCTATACGTCAGAACGACATAATCAATAAGGTACATCTGAATGTATTTTTAATTAAGTGAAACAGTTCTAAGATTGCTTTGTCTTTTGCATAGATAAAGATCACTGACTGGTTTCTAACGAAAACTGCCTTCCTTTGCTTTGTCCTAAACGCGAATCAGATGCCAACAAACCACGTTCATCAACCTCTCATAGTAAACTTGGCTTCTGGCAAAAGCTTCACTTATTCGAGGCATTTGGCTAACGTTGGTCCTCCATTTCTTGTTCTTCAGTGTCAAATGCAGCACGTTGGCTCTTATCTATCCAACTGTTAAACTAACAGTTATTATGGGGGATACAGGTGGAAAATAAGTCTTGAGTTTTGAGCTGATCTTTACTATCGCAAGCAAGAGCCATGGACCCAGAGAGACCAAGTTTCAAAACCCGGCTGTATTATATTTTATGTTGGGTAAACTCCATCACTTTTCTATTTCATCAAAACGAGAGTAAAAATCCCTACCTCACAGTCCTGTTATGAGGATCACAGGGCATGATTTATCATGTGCCCAGACCATTGTATATAGTTAATTAACAAATACAAATCCCTTTTATGGAACATTATCTTGCTGGCACTCAGTTCTCCCATCTGTATTTTTTCTGTAATGAAAATCTATCCCTCTATTTTATGATAACAGAATCTTTTTCTCTTTTCTTTCCTTTTTAGAAATCTTCTCTCCTCCAACCTTGAGCCATGCAGTTTAACTGGGACTCAATACCATCTCCTATTTCAGTTCCCAGGGAAGATATGTGTCTGACCTACATGAGTAATGCAGACTACTGGGATTCAATCCCTGGAAACATGAGGAAAGAGGCAGACTGGTTTGATGGAGCTTCCAAACTGTTAGGTTGTAAGACTAAAGCTGATGATGTCCATCATTGCTACGAATGGGGAAAGCAACCTGAGAATGAAGCCAACATGGGGGAGAAACAAAACTAAGAGACGTAAAAGTCAGCTACTGGGCTTCCCTGGTGGTGCAGTGGTTGAGGGTCCGCCTGCCGATGCAGGGGACACGGGTTCGTGCCCAGTCCGGGAAGATCCCACATACCGCGGAGTGGCTGGGCCCGTGAGCCATGGCTGCTGAGACTGCGCGTCCGGAGCCTGTGCTCTGCAACGGGGGAGGCCACAACAGTGAGAGGCCCGCGTACCACACACACAAAAAAAGTCAGCTACTATTAATAATATTACTATTAGCCAGTGGGAACTTAATACAACTCTTAGATGCCAGGCATATAACCAATTCACAAAAAACATCTCATTTGATTAAGTAGGTATTAATTATCTTCACTTTACAGGGGAAAAAAACTGAGGCACACAGAACTTAACTTCCCCATGACCCCTTACTTAGTAAATGGCAAAGCTAGAACTCACACCTCAGTATCTCTGAGCCCCTTAACTTCCAGGCTGTACTGCCTCCCAGTATAATTGATTTCTGACATAGTAAAGAACAAGACTGCTATAGCAGTTAGTTGAATAAAAAGACACCTATTCTATTAAGGGCAATATTGTGCTAAAATATGTTTTATAAGATGCCCTAAACATGTAAGTCAGTTTTGGAAGCAATTTAAACTCCTTGGAAGAAAGTTCATATGTATGTCAGTATGATAGTACTACCAACAACCACCGTGAATATAAGGATAAACTGTTAAACTCCATAATTGTTTCACAATTGATTACTTCCAGGGGTGGCATTACTACTGCCACCCAAAATAAAGATATTTCTTAAGTGTACTAGGTGATGAGGAAAAGATATGAATTCATCTTCATTTTTCTCCATGGGAAATGCTATATTATTACCCAGGGTCACTCGTCAATTCAATTTAGCACTAGAAAAGTTCCCCTTAGTCACCTCTACACTCCCACAGCCAGGCTTCAAGCAGAAATGATTAATGAGAGCTTCTTTCAATTAAGCTCGCTGAATAATCCTAGATAGCCCTATAGTTCTTATGTAATTTGAAGCAACTGATTTCCAGGAGTCTAATAAATACTGCTTTGAATGACACCTTTTCTGCCAGCCTTTGGAAGTTGCTCAGAGTCAGAAAATACAGACCATGTGGCCAGAGACCAAGAGATTTCATCAACAGTCAATGTGCACTGTGCAATTTACAAGGTCTCATGCTTTCTCTGGAAAAACCAACCTAGCTTAAAGAACCCAAGGAGGCCATTTGCCAAGCCCAGCTGGAGAGAGACACACACAGGCATGGTGGCCAAAAGAGCTTTGGATTTTCTCTACTCATCTGCCTGAATGGGCTAGATTTCTAGGGCTCACAGCTGCAGCCCAGAAAAAAAAATTCCAAGAGGCCTAAGCAATAGAGTCCACTGATTTAGTAGCTCATGGGCTTTGAAGCCATTCCGCCTGCATTTGAATCCTGGCTCTGCCACTTTCTGGCTGTGTGACCTTGGCTAAATTATTTGACCTCTCCATGCCAAAAGTTCCCGATCTGTTAGGGATGATAATGCAATGCTTACTTTATAGAATTGTTCTGAGGATTAAATTGCTTAAGTTTGAATAATGCCTATCACAATATCAGGACTTGAATGGAGAGACTCCATTCACAGAGGCAGAGAAGGGGTATCATTCATTTCACTCAACAGACAGATTAATTAGAATTTATATATGATCATGTGTTTAGTTTTTATAAAGATAATGATATAACATTTGGTTACAAGGGCTTTGCTAATCAGGCTTACAGATAGAAGGACCCCATTCCAAGAACAGATAAGAATGGGTTCAATTACTACCAGCCAAAGCAATGATGGATTTGTTCACCTCCCAAAGCTGTGTGTAAATAAGCCCTTCAGTGAGCTAGAAGATACTGTGTACCATGTACCGCTTAACATGGGAAATTCTCTCATCCGTTTTTTTTTTTTTTTTTGGTTTTTTTGGTCAATGTTTTTCTTTGTTGCTATTGGTTGGAACAAACTTCTCTCCAGTCATTTGAGAACTGCAACTTCCTGCCTTCAATTGCTGGGTCCACATGCAGATATATTCAGTCACTTGGAAGCAGGACTTAAGGAATGATTGGTCCCTCATACCTTCTCATTGGCAAAGCATCAACTTCATTTCCAGGTTAAACCAGGGGAACCACATTAATTTAGTTTGGTCTTTTATTTATTTATTCTCTGAGGCCTTTCTATGAACGTATAACACCCAGTAAAAGAGAAAAAAATATGGACCTGCTTTCCAAAAAGTGACTTTATAATTTACAGGCAAAACACATGGAGATGCAAGGTATCTCATGAATAAGGGACAGAATGAATAAGTGAGGAAGAGAAGAAATGCTGATCAGAGAAGGGAGACGCAGTGACAGCTACAACTGAATTCCTGGAGAAGGGCATCCAACTTAGATGCCAAAAACAAAGCTTCAGCCATTCCTGAGTGGGAGCAGCAGGGAAGAGGTGAATAAGTTCTGAGCAACAGAAACCCTATTTAGTTATCAATGTCTCTGTGATGCGGGAAGAGAAAGTATCTTTCCATATAGAAGTCTCTGTGTGTTAACTTTGAGCCAGTTTGTTTGCAAATAACTTGTCTTTTACTTTTTCAGGCAGTTTCACTAGTGTTTTAAGAGATTTATCTGTTCTCTGGCTTTCAAATCCCACAGGGTCTTAGGGCAGTGTTTGAAAATAAGAAAGATAAAAATGCATTCCTCTTAGAAGTGAGAGAATTGGAGTGGTGGGGGAAGCTATTAGGTACATGGAAGTCCCAAGGCATGGTGAGAGGCAGTGTGATTTCAGGAGGAGTAAAGGGGAGACAGCTTTTACTGTCCTAGCTGCAGGAAGCTCATTGGCTCCGAAAAGGTCATTGCGCCAATGATTCTCAATGATGTGAACAAGGGATATTTAAACTCTTGTCTGAGCCAGCTCTGCAGGGCACTGTTTATACTAGCAGAAGTCTGGAAACAACCTAGATGCCTTTTCCATAGGAAGATTAGATAAATTAGGATAAGGCAGAATCACGTCTTTTATAGGGCTTAGGTTGTAAATTCAAAAGCGATTGATAAGTAATGTCAACATTACACTAGAATACTTTGTGCTTTGTTCTTATTTTGCTGGGATCTAGGCCCTTGGAAACTCAGAAGCTAAAAGGAACTTGTATTATCCCTTCTTTTCAATTGTAGTAACCCAGGGAGGGAGGCCACCTCTAATTTAACCAGGGGGGTGGGCTCAGGAGGTAAAAAAAAAACAGAATATTACTTTCTTTGCCTCCTTCTTTTCTGTGTTGTTCAAGCCACCCAGTCTATGGTATTTTGTTATAGCAGTCAAAGCTGACTAAGAAAAAACAATTACTAATATGTATATTAATATTTACATGCATTTAGTAATTCAGAGAACATTTATGGAAGGATAAGTAAGAAATTAAAAACAATGGTTGTGTCCCATATGATGATGAGAATGTCTAGAAGACTTGAAAGCAGGTATGGGAAGAGGATCTGCTTTTAGACTCAATAAGATCTACTTATTTACACTGAAAACCTTTATATGAACATGCCGTATATGTGTGTATCATGCTTTTAGTAATAAAAGTCACTATTAAAATGTTCTTAAGTGTCTGTCTCAAAGTCTCATCAAAATATAACAAAACAACAGTTACAAAGCCCCTGTTGTCCATTAATCTTCAGTTATCTATGTTGGGTTTGTGAAGTGATTTATGACACTGCTTTAACATTCCCTTAAGATGTTTACCACCCCAATGTCACCTTCTGCCCTAGGGGATGTGTGCGTAACCCAATAAGAACAGAATTCACGTGAGAGTTCTGGGTGAGGAAAAGATTCCAATGTTCATTTTCACAGGTGGTATCTTAAATGTGCTAGAAAATAGAGTGAGACTTACCAGTAGAACCTGTTCGGTATGACCCCTTCCTGGATAAGCTGCCACCTTCTCCCAAATTCAGCAGAGCTGTATAACTGTGGACAACAGAGAGTATTCAACACCACGACTTTACGGTACACTGAATGCACAAACATCAGTTCACTGGATTATTATTATTAACAATAATAATATCTACCATTTATTTAGCACCCATTCTATGCCAGATGAGTGCTCTGCATATCAGTTCTACTCCCCACGTACATTCTGCAAGGCAGACATTAATATGCCCATTTTACAGTTGAGCAAACTGAAGCTCACAAAGATTAAGTGATTTGTTGGAAATCACATGCCACTAAATATTAGAGTGAACTGGGATTCATACCCCGTTTTGCCTGGTGAGCTGTACCGCTGGCCCCACCATAGGCAGACTGTTGTCTGGAATACAAAGAAGTCCAAAATCTAGACCTGGCTCTCAGAAAGCCAACAGTATAGCCAAAATCTGACTGAAATAATGACCATGCCACCAGTGATAAAGGAACGCAAAGGAAGGAGACTCAGAAGTCAATCAGGGATGCTTCCGAGATATGTGGGGAGTCAACTGGGATCTGAATGAATGGCAGAATTCAAACTGACAAAAATGGGACGGGCATTACTCACAAAGGGAACAATGTGGGTCAAAGGTGAGAAATGCAGGGACAGTATATGAATAAGCCTGGCTTATCTAAATAAATTTAGATGAAAATGTTGAGGGCAACTTGAAAAAGGCTTTGAAGGCCAAGTTAGGGAGACCAGAATCGATCCTGCAGGGAAGAGGAGCCAGTGTTGGTTTTTTAAAAAGGAAGCAGGCTCTAACAGCAGCTCACATGGACTAAGGTCTTACTATGATCCAAGTGCTTCTCCTGCATTCCCTCATTTAATCCGCACACCATCACTTCCAGTATTATGGCCATGTTACTGATGGTTATTGAAGATTTCAAGTCCAGTAGCTACACTGCTTCAGTGCTTTCCAAGGGCAACTGCAAGGAAACACTTCTCAAGAGACAGGGTCTAACCCTCCAAATACTCCTTCCCCTCCAAAGGTCTTTCTTCTCCTACATCTCGTTCTTCATTGCTGGCTTGCTCCATACCCCTGCTCTTCTCCAGTAATTTTTAGAGCACCATGGAACCTTTTCTGCCTCTAGAAGTGTCCTCTGATGGCAGCCCAGAGATTCCTATTACTCTAGGTATTCTGGTTCCCATGGACATTTGGCTGCTGATTTGAAAAGCATCATTTGGAACATCTCCTTTCTATGTGCCTGGTCTGTAACCCACTCACATCGCAGTCGTCCACCGCTGCATTTGCCAAATCCCACAGTGAATGGATGGTGAGTCACTCTGCACTGAGTACTATGACTTTCCTCTCTCTCCAGTCCCAGCACTCAGTGAAGGGTCAAATGACTCACCAAGTGACTCACCAAGGCTGCATATGTACCAGCCATGTCCAAGAAATAAGTCAGCTCAAGTGGGTACTTACTGACCCTTGGAAGAGCTTGCTACTACGACATTGTATCCACTGGATCAAAACACATCCTGAAGTCAAAAAAAGGCTGAAATATTTGGCTACCAAAGCGAGCAGCTCACTTGGCCCCAACTACAGAGTATTTGGGCATCCGGCCAAGAAGAACCTGTGGCTTCTTCTTTCAAGTCTTATTATTTTTCTCTGCCCCATCATGCCTGAGGGAGAAAGGTTTCCTGGGTACATTTCATGCTTGATTCATTTTAAGAGCACCAAGGAGAAATGGGGAGACAGCTCCCCTCCTAGAGATAACAGAAGATAAGACAACATCCTCCGTCTTGATTCAGAATCCAAGCAGCCAGAGGGTGCACGTCCTGCTTCTTGTTTCCCAGCATGTCCTGAACACTTGCATTTTAATATTCAGACTTGGATTACAACAGCAAGCACTTGATCCGGAGTGTCTGATACTTCCTCTCCGCTTGCACCATCTTTTTTAATTGAAACCCAGAGCTGCACTGCTTTCTACAAGTTTAAAGGAAACAGAGATCACACCACTGTGTGTGCCTATATCTATTTATAAACGTATGTTAATACCTATATTTATATACAAAGATTTATGCAAATGTAAGAGAATCAGGGTGGTTTGAAATAATAATAATTCTCTGTGAAGGCTAGACTCGCCACATATATTCTGAAAATCATATATAAACTCTGAGCTCTCCTAAGGCTACACCAAGGGATTGCCATCTCTGCCTTTACACAGAATTCATCTCTGTGAGGAACTGTTGGGTTCCAGCGTCTGTGTGTATATATTGTTTTTCTTCTATGTCTTTTTTAATTGATCCCCCTCGGCTTGGATTCAGAGCCTGTGGACCAGTCAGGTATGTCCCATGATATTCGTTTTTATCCTCTTCAAGGGGATGCTTTGTTATTTGTGAGCATCCAGAGGCCCCTCAAGCAGTGGGTACACCAAACAATCCAATAAACCAAGTCTCTCTTATTAGCTCAGTGACATCTTTTATAGTTTCCTATCTCAAAAGGTACGCTTTAGCGTCAGTGGACTCGCTTTCTCACCTTTCCATTCACACGTGGGCACATGCCCCCTGCCATGCCTTCACTGGTGCTACCCACTCTGGCAGAGGTGGCTTCAAGACTTGCCTACCTCAATGCCAGTCTTCTTTTTCAGTCCAGATCAGAGGATATCTTTTCTATGAACCCTCTCCTACACACCGAGATTTCCCAGTGGCCTCATTTCCAAAGAACTATGGCACAAGGAATGCTATCGAACTGTAGTCCACATATTTATATTTAACTTTCTTAGCAGCCTTTCAAGAGAGCCTTTTATTAATGCAAGGCAGAAATTCCTTCCTATCTAAAATCACTCTAAAATATCTGAGATCACTCAGTGCCTCTTTGATGAGATCACAAAGTTTTTAGGTGTCTGGAATCCCATCCTTCTGTGTCTATAGAGCGCCTAGCACATAGTAGATGATGCAGGTAGAAAAAAAAAACTATTGACTTTACATCATGCAAATTACCTAGTAATGGATCTACCTAGTAAAACACTCAGGTTTCCCAAAGGACAGACAAAGGTAATTTAGCAGAGGAATATGTTTTACTTTGCTCAAGACCTATTAGCAGCCTCAGGGCCCAACCCTCTACTTCCTTATTATGCTGGTCTGGGGCTGTCAACACTTCTTGTCATGCTCCTCCTCTGAAGATTTAGCCCATCCTTCATCCCTCCCTCCCTCCCTTTCTTCTTTCCTTCCTTCCTTTCTTCCTTCCATTTTTTTTTTTTTGACATCTCTTACATTGACTTGTTTTCCTGCCACCTGCCTTTGTCTGCTATAAGACGAGTGCAGATAAAAATACAGTTCATTGCAAAGGATCCAATTTCAAGGGTTGGTTTTATTATGAGCTTTTAACCAATTGTACAATCATCTCTGGTGTCATGCTCCAGAGGCCTGCAGGGCTGCAAGTTGGCTGAGGGGCACAGGTTCCAAGGGAGAAGAAAGAGAGAGGCCACAGGAGGACAAATGGCTTGGAGGTGGGCAGAAGTGAGATTCACTGCCTTTGCTCAGGACGCCTAAACTACAGCCAATTAAGATGGGCTGAAAGAAGTGGGGTATGAGAGCGGCTGTTTCCAACTTTCATTTTCCATCTTCTGACCATGCACATTTTGGTTGAATCCCTAGCAGAGTGGCATCTTTCTTTGAATAGAAATTCCACTTCCTTGTGTTAATGCAAAAGCTTGCAAGCACCACTGTCTCCAAAAAGTCTTCTCAACAGTTCTAAATCAGATCAGTGCAGCCCCTCATGTTAGATTGTTAGATAGGTACACATTAGGAATTTTCTTTTGCAGCTAGGAAATTGGTGCAAGGACACCATTTGGTAGAAGGTAAGAGTGACAGCATGTTTCAGTCTTTGGTTGATGGGATTGGAGAGAAACCCATGGTCTTCAGAGATAAGCTCTGCTGCTCTAGTTGCACAGCACAGGAAGCCAGAACCCACTCTTAGGGGAAATCACATTATAAAGGACCTAAAATCCCACCCAGCACTGACACAAGCCTTCTCCTTGGCCAGTGGGTACAGGGATAGATACAGAACCATGATGACCCATCCCAGACCAGCTCCCCCAAACCCCGAGAGATTAAGTTCCCCAGAGAAAAAGCTAGCTTCTCAGGGGATATCACACACAAAGTAGAGTAAGTATTGTTATATTTTGTCCAGAGTGTTATGGTGGCTTATGTAAGACAGGAAGAAGCTGGGGATCTGCCAAAGCTTTCAAGGTAGGACTAGGAATACAGTAAAAAGTTCTTAATTTGAAGATGTGAGAAAAGAGTGTTCCAGGGCAAGTGGGTCAGTCTGAGCAAATAAACAGAGCAGCAAAGGTTAGAGCGGTAGCTTTGTTCTTCTTTTGTCAACTTCAAGAGACCCAGTTTGGTGGAGGTGCATAAAGGGAAGTGAAGTGGGAGTAGAGGCTATAAACATGGCCTGGGAGCAGACTAGATGAATGCAATCCTACCATAACTTGCGGGGAGCTAATGGAGACTGTTCCCAAAGGTCAAAAAACAAGGGCACCAAGGCTGAGCGCTCAGGCTTTGCTGATGAAGAGAGAGCAGGAATGATGACATGTCACCGGCTCCATCAATCTCTCTGAAGGCTGGATTTATCAAATCTGTCACTGGCCATTCCCCAGCTGTCACCGAAGTCTGTCACATACCCCATAGTTGTGTTTGGCACCTTGAGGCAGGCTTGGGGGATTCGACATATGGAACTGGGGCTGGCTGGGCAACAAGGGTCAATATGTGGCTGTGGACCAGTTCAGTTCACGGACTCTTCCTGTGCTCCCACGTCTGGAGGTACTTAGGGAAATTTCAAATGGACTCTCGGCCTTAAAGCTTCTATAATATAGATATGGAAATAAATGGAAGATAAGTAAAATAATTAGAAGCTAGTAAAGATCTGTATCACAGATCCCCAATATCAAGACACTGATGGGAAAAAATGAATAGCCCTCAATAACCATGTAATCATACCATTATTTAGATGAATATATGATGAAGCTCAGCAGGTTTTGAGAGACAAAAATAAGCAGGA